TAGATGGCTGAAAATAACAAGTGTTCCTAGGGTGTGTTGGCAGTATTTTCAAGACTGTTAAAATGATATAATCACACTCTAACTACATATTTTTTTCCTTCACTGTTTATGAAGCAATCCTAGAATTATTAACTGTATATTGCAGCTACATTTATATGCTGATTAGAGTAATGCTAACTTTTTAGTTAGGATTCACTATTTCTTCAGACTGCTTGGAGTTGAAAGTCCTATATTTTGTCAGTGATGGGGACTTCTTCATCAAGAGGCTCCAATCATTTTGGACTAGTGAGTCCCTAGTATGGACATGGGAATACCATGACTATCAAGTCATTGTTATTTCTTATTTCATATACAGTAGAGTACATCCTTTTCAGATTCATGAGTGATTGGAGAAGAGAAAGTCATTATGAGAATTAGTCTTAAAACTCAGATAGTGCTGTAAATTTACAGAATACCTTATGAACCAAAGCATGTTTTCCTGCAAACAGCTTATAAACCCAAAGTTTCACCTTCACACAATCAGATCTGAACTACAGAGAACTAAACTCAAGATATAGAAAACAACTTCAAGAAGGTAAGAGATTATTTTGCACCAAGCTGCTGCACTGGTACAAAACATTGGCCTTGTCTCACCAGGAGCAAGAAAAGCTGTGAAAGACAGGCAAAACATCCATCCTGCCCCACAGTCTATGTACCACAGCTCCCTCTGTGGTATGTTCTCTTAAGCCTGTTCATCAAGTGGGATGCTGGAGCTTGGCAATCATGAGCATCAGTGCCTTAATTTGTTTTTGAACAACATACTAAAGTGGGGAATCACTATTTCTGGAAAAATGGCATGCTCACCCGAGACAAAATGCTAGAATTTTAGACTCTGACATAGAAGTCCAATTCCTGGAACTGATCTAAGTACTCTTGTATATCTGCTCTGCCATGGAAAAACTCCTCCACCATCATGCATCTCAAGTCATCTAAACTATGCTCTCAGCACATTCATAGCAGTTAACTTCAGGCTGCCCATGGCCCCATCCAACCTGGTTTGAGAACCTCCAGATATGGGGCATCAACAACTTCTCTTGACAAGCTGTTCCAGCACCTCATCACTCTCTTAGTAAAGATTTATTGCTCATATCTAATCTAAATCTAACCTCTTTTAGCTTAAAACTATTACTCCTTGCCCTATCACAACACTGCAAGATATAGACTCCCTCCCCATCTTTCCTCTAGGCCAGTGAGGTGTTCCTGGAACCTCCTCTTCTATAGGCTGAACAAGCCCAACTCCCTCAGCTTTTCTTCATTTCAGAGGTGCTCCAGCCATCTGACTACCTTTGTGGCTCTCCTCTGAACTCTCTCCAACAGCTCTGCATCTTTCTTGAGCTGGCAGCCCAAGGCCTAGATGCGGTCATTTCGTATTATGTAACTTCCTTCTTAGGAGCAAAAAGTGTTTAACAGAAGCATGCATCTGTAACCAGGAATCATCATTTCATTTCCATTTAAGATCCTAGATCACTGACTAATCACCAAGAAGACACTGGTCAAAATAGATGTGTAAAGAAAGAATCAGTAAAGGAGTTTATGGGCATTAAGTACCCAACTTCCCTTGCAGTTCTCAAAGACTCAGCAACAGCAATTATCCAAAATAGTATGTTTAAACCATCCCAACAAAAAGATCCTGTACCACACAGATATGCATTTCCATTAAAACCTTTTCTATTACGGAACCAAATGCTGAGCATTCACAATTCTGTGTTCATTACAGAGCAATCACACACGTACCTTTTCCAGGTAAGAATAGCAGTGTTCTTTTTAATAATACTTCTTCAAGCTCTGAGCTACCAGTGTAGCTTAAAAATAACAGTCCATGTTACTAAGAACATCAAAAAGTTTCATCAACCAAAAATACTTAAAGCCACAAAGACAAAACTCAGGTGTAACAAGTAGGCCAAGCCAAGTGACCTGAATTGAATTTTGCCTTTTGAAAAAGGATTTCTTATCAATTCATGGATATTCAATGCAATACCCAGGAAAATACTTCATAATACTTATGACTTTCTCAAATGTGATTATGAGCTGTGCGAATTAAAACATCTACATCCTAGATGTGAAGCAAACAAGCCTATAGTTTAGTGGCCACCCTTGTTGTTTTGTGATCCAAAAAATGTTTTACTTTATTTGGGATTTCATATAGCCAGTTACTTTTATACCAAAATACTGTATCACTTAATCTGGTACTGATACGTTGCCAGAGTGAAGAGAAAAATGTTAAAAGCCATAGAAATACAAACATACAGCAAACAGCAGCCATTAAGGTATAATGTCTATGATTAATATATAGGCTGTTAAATGACTAGTAATAAGATTAGTTTGCATCTTTCCTGCCCAATAGATACTTAAAGTAATTGCATTTTGCAAACTGCATTATCATCACTTCACATTCCTCATGAGGTCATGGGGTAGCAAGGCAGACTCAGCAGTTTCTCCAGAGCTGCTTTAATTCTTTTCTCTGACCATAAATTCTTTGGCAATACTAAATACTCTGACACAGAGGCTGTGAGCACGCCTTGCTAAGCATCTCTCTAGCTGCATTAACACTGCAAACCACTTGTACTACTTCTCTTTAACAACTTTCAAATTAGAGATGGTAGAATAACACCTAAATATGAATGTCTTGATGCAAATAATCAACTTTGCAATTGCCTAGGGAAAAAAAAAAAAAAAAAGTGCACATTCTTTGAAAAAGAAACAGGAAACTTTTAGCTAAGGAAGTGGCATTTTCAAAAGGTAGACTCTTCCTTCTGTGCCCTCTTGATGCTGAGAGCAAAATGGCTGCAATTTTTTGCAATTGTTGCTCAGGCTGCTGCAAACTTACCACAATTAATGGGAATCTTTCCAGAAGCTTCAACCAGCACTCAGGCACTCAGGTTAAGGTCATGAACTTTTTTTTTTTTTTTTTTTGATGAGTGATGAGGATTATTTCTTTAAACATACTTGGAAAACTGAGATATTTCCATTTCCTACATATTATGAAGATTGAAGCATAAGTTAACATTTTTCTCAGAAACAGGTCTGTTTAGAATGAAGGTTTGTAATTTTAAATGTAAGCCTGCTTAAGTCCAAAAGACAAGCAAGACTGGAGAGAGGTAGGCAGCACACACTGTCCAGTAGTTCAGCAGTAGTACTTCTTTCTTGAAAAGTGCATATTAATCATTGTACACCCGTGTGCATGTGGCAGGAGAGGGTGGGGTTCATGTGAGAAACAATGAGTCCTCCCCACATGTTGCAGGACACACTGATAGAGGCACACTGAGTATCTTCAACTGTTTCTGTATAGTATGGGTCCTCTTTACCTAATGAATACAAATGTAGCTAATATATCTAATAGGATACAAATGGTTCCTTCTGTAAGTGGCTTTAAATCCTCTCCTGTATTAAATTAACCAAGCATTAGCTAGAATGATAGAGTGCCATGAGACTGATTGCACGCTTTGAATACTGCAGTCTGTATTCTGTCCAAAACCTAAAGTCTTATACACAACTAGAACAGGTGGTACTTGTGTTATATGCACTCTTTTATAAGATGGCTTCTATTCAGTTTGCTGTGCATGTCATTTAAGTGCAGAAGATCCAGGTAGAAGACAAAGGGATGAGCTTTCCTCAGCCACACGTGGACTCTTACACCAAGAATGCTAATGCAAAATGCAATCTTATGGATGAGCAATATTCACTGTTCCTTACAATAACAAAATGCACTACAGCATTAACATAAATTGTTAAACTAAGAGCTCTACTGTATTGTAAATGACTACAAATTTTACGCTATAACAGAGGTGGATTAAATACTTCAGGGTAAATGCTAGGCAGGCAAGCTTTTCCTAAATGTTTGCAGCACTTCTACTTAGCTATTTTTTTCCTGAAAGACAGTTTCACATACACACATACAGTACATCTGTTGTGCACATGAGCTTGCTTCAAACAAGACATCACTGGAATGGTCGGTGACTGTACTCCATGAGCAGCTACAAAGAAAACTGTCTGGAATCAGAAACCTAATGTTGAATACCAAAAGCCCTGCAACAAACTTTCCTTGACAAGTTGCCATTGCAGTCTCTGTGACAGCTCATAGAAATAACTTGCACTGTTCTGCAGTAGGTTTATGAAGACACGTTTTTACCTGCACATACAGAGACTTACACACTACTCATTAACAAGTGTAATCAGGTGTCTAAATCTTTGCTTCAAGATAGACATAAGGATTTGGTTGTGCACCCAGCATGCCTCCAGGAGCCTGTTAGCTTTAGCTTGGAGGATCTGACACAAATCCAGTTAAAAACATTTTCTTCATTACACTTTGCAGCTTCTCTGCAAATGAACCTGTGTGCTGGGAATGTACAATGCGATCCCACATTAGACTTTTAACTTAACCTAATCTCATGCTTTGGATACATGTTTCTGAAGTACTGTTTTCTCTCTTGAGAGAGCTCTGGATGCACCCACACATCACAAAACTACTTGTGCCGTGTTCTTAATAGTTTGCTTCTTCCTCCCACCTGTGTTATAAAGAAAAGAAACACTCCCGCTTGGCCACAAACATTTCAAGGCACAAGGTTCAGAGACACTGCAGCGTGTCCGTGCTCTCTTGTCCCGCAGACAGAACGGACCAGAGTTACGCAGGCACTCAATCAGCTCAAAAACTCTGTGTGCACAAGAAAACACCGCGGTGGCAGGAACTGCCTTACGGCTACCGCAGAAGTTTGGCAGCGGAACTTTCCGTCTCCCAGGACCCGCAATCAGAGCTGTGCACAGCCTCCACCGGACGGCGAGTGCTCGCCAACTCCGACGCTGCGGTGAGAGCGCCCGCAGATGCACTTAGACGTGCGCCAAGTCGCTCCGGAGCGTCAGCACAGCAACGCTGGCCCGCAGGATTACTTCTTGAGTGCTTTGCCCCCACCTCTCCCCTCCGTCGATTCCCACTCCCGCCTGCTCCCCCTGTTCCCGCTACTTACCGCTGAGGACGCGCCCTCCGAGAGCTCCGCTCCCGCACAGCGCGGCGGCCGCCAGCACCGCGGCCAGTCCCAGACCCAGCCCCAGCCCCATGGCGAAGGCTCAGCGTACAGTAGCCCCGCTCAGGGCAGGACAAGCCCCACACACATGCCGGGGAAAAGCAGCCCGCTCGCTCCTCGCTTCGCAATGCTACCCGCCACCGCCTCCCCGTCGCTATATACCTTTAGAGGCGGGGGCCGGGCCGGGCGGAAGGCCAGCACCGCCCCCCGCCGCCCCCTGCCGCCCCCCGGCCCCGAGAGCCGCACTGTGCCAGCGACTCCAGTAGTGCGTGGATGCCTCGGCGTAGGCGCGCTCAGGGCGGGTGACCGTGCTGAGAACGAGAGCCTGACCGAGGCTTTCTGCAGCTTTTTGGGGCTTTGTAGGTCTTCTGATCTATGTTTCCCCTGACAAGGGTAGAAATAGGTTGTTTCCCACTTAAATGTGTACATCTACATATATAAGTACAGGTGTATAAGCTGCAAAGTTCCCTTTTCTCACTGCTCTAGAAGATATCGGCATCAAATTCACATTACCATCATTTTTAAAACATGCCATGGTAACTCTTCTGGACCTGTTCATAGGACTGCTTCAAAGACCTTCAAGTACCTCATGTTGTCAAGGGCTTCTTCTGTAAATATCTATCTGTAGATTTCTAAAGACAGACACTCTTTCCAAGCACCAATCTTTTACTTGAATTCCAGAGAATGGCTTAGATAGATTACCATGGAGTTTAATGGACATCTTGCATGCAAATTATTTGATGGTTTGCCAGTCAACTTCATCTTTCTCAAAACTCAGCTAGAGACCATATATATACGTGTCATATTTGTAAGTTATTTTCCTTCTGGATGTTTATAGCCAGCTTGTGAAGTCAATACATCTCAGATTACTATGGATTTTAAAATACTTGATGGATTTCCTAGTTGTTTTAAAACTACCTGAGATCAGTTTCCTACTGAAAAACCCACATAAACTGTAATGGAAAATTATTTCCAGTTCTGTTGTATTTTGCCACAAAATTTTTCTTAATAACAGTTATTTATTTGAGTGATGAGACTTGGTCTTCCATGTGGATTTTAGGGTTCCAAGCCAATAACTATTATTTTCTAAATCTATAAGTACATTGAGAAATAGTCTCAAAATGGTCATACTGAACAAAATGTTTTGGAATAAAGTTACTTAAGAGCAGATGAGAAATAGTGGAGCCAGCAGAAGCAGGGAGGTGATTAGAACCCTGTCCTCATCTCTGGTGAGGCCATACCTCCAGTAGTTTTCAGTTGTGGGCTCTTCATCATGAGAAAGACATCAAGGCCCTGGAGCGTGTCCAGAGAAGGGCAACAAAACTGTGAGAGGTGTGGAGTACAAATCTTATGAGGAGTGGCTGAGGGAGTTGGGATTGTTTAGTCCGGAGAACAGGGGGCTCAGGGGGGACCTTGTAGCACTCTACAATAACTTGAAAGAAGGTTGTGGTGAGGTGGGAGTGGGCTTCTTCTCCCAGCAACGGCCACGGGACAACAGGTAACGGCCTCAATTTGCACCAGAGGAGGTTCAGGTTAACAGATTTCTTGTTCACGTTTCTTCTCAGGAGTGGTGAGGCACTCAGGGAAGGGAAGTGATGGAGTCACCGTCCCTGAGATTTTCAAAAAACATATAGATGTGGCACTGAAGGACGTGGTTAGTGGGCACAGTGGGGATGCATTGGTGGTTGGACTAGATAGTCTTGGAGGTCTTTTCTAACCTTAATGATTTTATGGTCTCCCTGGTATCTGAGATTCAAGCATTTCCTCACATAAGGCTGATGGTATGCAGAAAGAGAAGAGCATGGCCAAAAAAACTGTAATAAATACAGCGAGTATTGGGGGTGAGGCTGGGGAGGGAAAGTGTGTCACAGCATTTTAGTCTTACATGTTTGTAACCTACTCCAGTCTTAAATAGGAGGCAGTTCAGGTTTTGATATGTTTGAATCCCAAGTAACATCCAGCCAAAAGAAGTGGGAAAATAAGAAAAATGTTAAAAGTTTTCCAAAGTGGCAGGACCCTCTACTGTCTCAGGAATGGCATTCAGGTTGTAAGAAATGAATTCCTCACCTATATTGGTGGGAATCTTCTATTGAATACCTGCCATATGCAGCAGAAATATCTTCCTCCTTTTCCTTAGGCCTTTTCAAAAATTTGTTTAATGATCAGTTCTTAAAGCAAGGCTGAAATGAAATATATTTGCACATCTAAAGAAACTCTCCAGGCACACACACCACCATCTCTTTTCCATTGAAATTAAGAGCATGCATAAAACAAATTCTCCCTTTAGCAAATTACGCAGCATTTTTCTCGTCTTGCTTTATGTGGGTTTACTAGCCACGATGCAGTGACAGTCCCTGGCATTCTTCTGATCTTTGCTGGACTTTTCATCATATGGATCACCTGGGGAAAAAAAAAAGAAAAATAAAAGTAAAATAAGAATATGGACAGTTGTGTTGTGAAATTGCATTTTTGTAGTTTTTATCTGTGGAAATTTTCCAGTCTCTTCATCTTACTTGCAGCCACTTGCTCCTTTTTCTCCTGCAGAAAGAGAGCACTGAGCACTGATATAAGACATAGAGGCATTTTCCTTACCAGTACCCATGAACACCAGCTGAGGAGGTACCTACTGATCTGTCTTACTACCTCTTTTGTAATTGAAGTATATTTCTTTTTTTCAGGATGAGTCAAATTTCACTTAAAAATAATTGATTCCCAGACATGGCAACTGTATAATTTGGAGTTGTTAAACTGGGCCTTTTAAATGAGGAAAAGAGGAACTAATTGGTTGCTCCCTGCTGGGACCAAGTTTATGGTCTTTATTAAACACTCAATCCCTTGATACTCTGGTTTCATCCTTAGTATATGTCCCATCTCAGAACTGTGCATAACTTGACCAGCCTAGAATTTTAACAAATTGTGATAATTGTATTGCAACACACACACACACACACACACACCAAAAACAAAACAAAACAAAACAAAACAAAAAAAACAAAACCAATGTGTATTTCAAGAGCCTGGTATCCAGGACATACGTAATTCCAGTTTATTAAATGTTAGGATAAAATTTATAAATGTTATTGCAACATCCTAGCATCTTTTCATCCAGGAAACAACAGGTAGACTGTTGTTTGTCCAGAGTCACTATTTTGCTGCATTGCAAGGTTTTATTTCCTAATCTAGGGAAAACTAAATAAGAAAGAGGATAGCTTAGCTGAAGATAAAGCTTTCAAAAAATTACTATCTTTGAATCAGAGGTAGGCATCTTTCTGAAGTAAATTTTACTCTAAGATAATTTAGACTAAAAGTACAGATAAAGAGTCTGAGACAAACTAGACTGAAGATAAATAAATGTCTTATCACAGAAGAAGATGGGTAAGCTTGTGTGCTTTTATTCCAAAAACCGGTTACATCACTGGCTAGCGATGGTATTCATTCTATGAATTTGTGAATAAATATGATCTTTATGTGATGGTGCTTTTACTGCTTACTCAATTTAAACTTTAAAGAATAGATTTACCCAATCTTTTAAAAAGTGTACTATGTAGTAGCACTGATCAATTTTAAAACAAACCTAGAAGGGGAAAAAAAGGAAGACATATTGGAATAGTTATCCTTTGAGGTGGCTTGTGATTTTTTCTATTTCACCATTAATGAAAGAGGCAGTGCTCTCTATTTCATTTTCTTGAGGTACTGTTAAAATATGAGTTACAGCTATATACTCTGTTCATTTCTCATCAGTGATTATTTTCTTTCTCTCATATCTAAAATTTTTCTGTCATTTGCCCATAATCCTAGATGATGCAGTTTCTATAGATGCCCAGCGTACAATTGGAAGTAGGAGGAGAAAAGTTTTGTACAACAGTCTGCATACAGATAATTTATTAAATAACATTTCTAGAGCTCTTTCAATTTCATATCCCACTGGCTTCCAAAAACAGTTTAAGCTACTTAGCTTCTCCTGCCAATTCTCTTAGTACTATAATAGCATTATATTTTTATGGCTTTCTTTTTTAGTATTATTATTCCTTATGTTATGGAGAAGTATTCAGTACAGGTCCTAAAAACATTTGAGAAGTTGTTAGATGTTCCAGAGGAGGGAAGGGATTCGAGAAATTTTAAGTTTCATTAACCCCCCTTCAGTATCATATAAGGTACCAGCCTGCATTGAAGTTGATGGGAGTCAAAAGAAAAACAGGAGCAGAAAAGAGGAGAAATAAGAATGTGTACTTCATTTTCTACTCAAGAGTCTAAAAACATTTATCTATCTTTCACAATGCAGTGCCAATTGGAAATTCCTGAATAACTGAAAAACAGCATTTTGCACAGCCGGGGACAGTGAGGAGCTTGAGCTATGGTACCCTTTGCCCAATTTGAGGGGCACTGTTCCCAAATTAATCTACCCAGCTCTGAAGCCAGATAATTTGGTGCTAACTCAGGTATTTCTGCATAGTGCTGCATTGCACTGTGTAAAATACCAGCGTGGTTGTACATGCAATGCAGCACAACTGACAGTTTCACCAAGCTCTGCCAACGAGGATCAAAGTAATTTAATTTCCTTCAATTATAATCCATTTAGATATAACATATAGCAGAAAAAAAAAAATGAAAAAAACCTTTTAGATAAACAGGCTCTCTTAAAGGCCATAGGATATTTTTTATGAGCTAGCACAAAACTTGCTAGCTCACAGAAATTTTAAGCATTCTTAAACTGTGATATCTTGTATCTATTAAAGTAAAGCATTTTTTTTCTCCTTAAAATTTCATTAAAGCTAATTATTCAGCAAAATCTTCATGGCTATTGTCATAACTTATTAATATTTCTTGGGTTTAGATCAGAATAATCAGTAGAATGAAAATTAATTAAGCCTGATTTTCAAATCAGATGCAAAATAGTAACTCTGAGCAGCAGAATAGTTGCCCAAGGAGGTTATGGATGCCCCATCCCTGGAGGCTTTCAAGGCCAGGCTGGATGTGGCTCTGGGCAGCCTGGTCTAGTTGTTAGCGACCCTGCACATGGCAGGGGGGTTGAAA